ATATAGTTTAGTTGTATATTATTTGGCTTTAGATGGTTTTAGTACATTTAATAGCCTTTTACCCCTTTGCTTCAGCTGTATAAATTTTTATTTTATGACAGTCCCAAACTTTTTGGTATTCAAGTGCATTTTCTTTGTACATTAATTGACTACCACATGTAAAAACTGACAAGTAGAATGCAATTAAATACAGATTTGAAACTTTTAGGCCATTGTGTAAATATTAAAAGTGAATTGGAAATTGAAAAATAAAAGCTTACATACATACTATGAACATACAAGTAGTCAATGATACACTATAAAATTGTATGGGAAAAAATATGTTCATGTCCAATAAGGATTTTCCAGACACTTGCATCCAGAAACATTTTAAAAATAAGCACTTAGTTTTGCTCCAAAATAAAGCTGATTTTTCCCTTACTGCACCTATTTGTTGAGAACTATAGCATACATTAGGGATGCACTTAAATGGGTTATTTTATGGGGAAAATTGCTTGAAATTTTAAAATTATTATATTTTATGCACAACTTCAAAACCACAGAATTTAAAGAGGATCCCAGTGAGGCACTCCCATTCTACATGACTACCATTCTCTATGACTAGCAAACAAGATACAAGAACTAAAGGCAAAAATACACACTTTTGCAATCCTATATAAAATTTATTTTCATAAAATCAACACAATACCACAAAACAACAAAAAGAAAATCTGAATTTTGACAACCTTACACAAATTGTGGGATTTCATTTCAAAGTCTTCAAACTGTTGAGCTTGTTTTAGCCTGTGCTGGATTCACACCAGGCAGTCGGTGTTCCTCAGAGTTCCCTTTAGACATCACCTGTTTGCAAGGGACAAGCTGATGTCTGGAACTGATTTCTCCACAGGATTCAGGGGAGTATGAGCTGTGCCATGAGGCACTGCTGCTGATGGTGGAGCTGGTCTCTCGTGAGTGACATTGCTGTGGGGTTAGTGGTTTATAAAATGTCTGGGCAGAGGCTTCAGTGTTCTGGGTGCTCTGGCAAGAGCGAGAGGGTAGAAATCTGAGGACCAACTCTCTGACCTCTCTCTTGGTGATCTGGTTGGCTCTGTGTGTGGCTTATTGGGCTGTGTGGCACTGCTGGAATGGTCACCACTGACCCTGACGCTCATTGTCACTTTTTCCTGGAGTGCACTAGGCACAATCACTGCAGTCTTTCTTGGTAGTTGTTTTGTTCACATTGTTTTCCCTGAGTTTTTTGTAGAATCTGCTGATCAAAGCCATTAAATTTGGAACAAACAGTAATAGGGGAATCTTTTCTATTAAGTCCTTCAAAGGTTGGATTCTCACAAGACTTGTCGGAATTTACATTTCCCACATTTTTTGCTGCTTCTCTCACTAGGAGGACTTGCAAGAAGTAACCTATCTAACAGGCAGACTTACTGGTCTAATCTTGGTAATTGGCATACGCCTGTGGATATTTTTTGTTGCCCTATCAGATTTCAGAGTAAGTAGTTTAGTGGTGTTACATAGATCGTCCATCTTTTGGGATGATGGTTCAAGTTCTTTGTTATCAATGAGACATGCATCACATTTTTCCCATGCATTTTGCTTGCATTCTGATTGTTTAAATGATGTAGCTGATTAAAAAATTTTGATTTCATTATCTGCAGTGTGGCTATCTTCCTTTGAAGAAAAATATAGTGACTTCGTGGAATGAGTCACTTTCTTCTGGTGATATCACAGGTTTGGAAGGACAGCTTTGATCAACCTGAGGTACAATAACACCTGCACTACATGTAACATATTGTGACTGTAGGGATCCATCCAAGATCTTCTGTGAGTAAGTAATGAGGAACTCTACCAACTGTGCCTGATTTCCATATTCAGCAAGGGAGGCAATGGTGACAGGAGCTTTTGTGGGCCTTGGCCTAATGAGACTTGGTCCAAATATTACCCCCAAGTTTTTGGAGTTCATCTTGTTTTCTTCAGCATGATCTACTACCCGCTTAAGATGTACTATGAGGTAATGAAGACTGTTAAAATTTGATGTTGGCAACTGTCTTAGGAGGTCCTTACTTTTTAGAAGAATTCAGTTTATCTCTGTACACATATTTGGGTATTTTTTGTCCTTGGGGTTATCCTTTTTGGTTTCTTGTTCTTCATTAACAAGTAGGATCTCTTTTGCAAGGTCTATAAATTCCTTGAACAATCAGAATAAAATAATGGTTCTGGGAGCTGTTGAAGGTAAAGTTTTAACACTTTACAGATGTCATGTGAATTAAATTCTGAAGTGTCTACCAAAAGCATTCCGTTCTCCAAAGCTTGACACAGTTTTTCAGTTTTTGTTTTGTTTCCACTAACACGATAAAATCCTTGTAAACACAAGGCTCTATTTTCAATCTCTGAAGCACATATTTTGAGTGTGAAAAAATGCCACCTGGCTCCTTTTTTGCAACGTGTGTGAATTCTGCTCCACCAAATAAGTGTGTTTTTCTCAGAAGTTTCTGATGACCACAAATAATGACAAGTTTTTCATACATTTTTTATGGCAAACAAGGAGACACTCTTCACATTCAACATCTTGGAATACTACAAAGCCGTCACAATCTCTGCATTTTGTGAGGGATCTCAATTTCCAGAACTTGTGAGTAAGAGCTGCTTTTAAATCAATATATTTTTAAATGCTCCAAGGGAATTGTGTCCAGTTTCTGAAAGGGGAAGGTGGCTCTCTTTCATCTAAATCATCTGCAGAAGACATGGTTCCACTGGATGGAGTTCGTGGAAGTTTTCCATGAAAGACTCCTGGACTTATAGATTCTCAATCCAAAGATCTAGACTGACTGCTCCCTCCAGTACTCTGAGTCACTAACCATCCACATGTCCATGATCTTATTAAAGAAGAATCTGTTAGATCTGCATTGTTAGAGCATCTGTCCCCTTCAATTTTATTACAACTGTAGGGAAGGCACACAACATCCTTTAAAGAGTCAGCAAGGCCATATCCAGATGTCTGGGAACTATTTGTTAATGGTTTATTTCCATTCCCTTCAACTTTTTCTTTTTTGGTTGAATTTGTGGCCTTCACAAATTCCCTGTACTCTTGGCCTGGATCATAAAGTTTGGCATTATCACAGAGAGACTGTAAACTGCAAGGGAGGCAGCCTGCAGGTGCTGCATCTGAAAGAGGTTAACTGTTACAGCTTTAAGGGTAAGATCACACTGGAAAACAAGTGTCCTGAGTTGTGTTAAAATTTTTCTTTTGGTATTTTCAAGATCATTTCGTCTTTCTTCAACGTTTGTTATGCAAACTTTGTAGAGGTCATTTGCTTCTTCTACTTTTTGAAGGGCTTCCTCTTCCAACCTTCCCTTTTTTTCTAGTTGCTTATTGAGATTTTTTGCTAATCCACCACTGATGCTCCTCCTCTGCACGAAACATGGAAGATTTTGCTTTTTCATATTGATCTTGACGTTGCATGCATAACAATTTTGCCTTTTTGAGAGCAGTTTCTGTTTCAAGCATTTTATTTTGTTCCTGTTTCCAAAGTTCCTTTATTTCTTTCCTTTGTTTTTACATTTCATTTTTCATCCCCAGTGGAGGCTGTACAAATTTGTTGGCTTGGACAGCTGCAATTGTTTGTTGTAAAAGGTCTCTGTTCTTTATGTCATTGAGGAGAGCACTGGTAAATAGACTATAGCAGCAAAAACTCCTGTAGTCCAACGTTAGCTCCAGTTGCTTCCACCAACTTTACAATATTTCAGGTGGACCTCAATTCCAAGTTAAGCTTTTTTTCAACCCATGATGCTATGTTCTTTGTATATTTTGACCATGTTTTAGCATACGACAAGGCCAATTCAATAGTCAATGTTTTTTTAACAGTACATTGTCTAATTCTATAGGAGAAAAATTTCCATTTTCATTGGATAACTCAGTACTGAGTCCATAAAAATGTTTTAAAAATACTTATTTTCCTGGGCTGGGGATATAGCTCAGTTAGTAGAGTGCTTGCCTCACATGCCCAAGGCCCTGGGTTCAATCCCCAGCAACAAACACACACACACACACACACACACACACACAGAATTATTTTCCCAAGAAACAGGCAACCCTAACAAGGCGTCCATGCCTCCATTTTTCCCATAATGAAGTTTGTAAGCATATTCCCAAAGGTAAATGCCAAAGTTTCAGTGGAAGAAATCAGTTCTCGGAATAGATTGTTTTTGTTTTCTTCATTAACTTCTGTAAAATTCCCAGCTTGCACTTTCGCGGTAAGCATTAATGCAGCATTTTGAAGATCAACAGAACTGAGTTTCTGATGCTTATTCATCATAGACTTTAAAACATGGAGACGCTCATCCAGACGTATATGAATGACTTCTTTGAAACAGTCTGAAAAAATAGCTTCTTTCAAATATATTAACACATGGGAGAACTTCCTGATATCATTCACCAACTCCTTGATGTCGTCCGGATCAAAATTGGAGATGGAACTTAGGGACCTGAGCCCCATTTCAAAAGTTGTAACATGAGTACAAAGTTGATCTGATGCCCAAACACGTTTTTTCTTTGTCTTTTTCTGTGTGTGAGCAAGCATCCCCTCAGTTAACAATGAGAAAAACTGAAATCCACGCGCTCCATCCCGCGACCCAGACTCGGAAGCCCACCCAACGCTCACATCCACGGTCGCTGCCTGGGGCTGGAGCTCCCTGTCCCCATCCCCCACGCACTGCAAGAGGACATCAGGCCAAGTCCCTGCTGCCCCTGCAGCCACCTCCCCAACCTCGTGCTGTCCCCGCTTCAAATCCTTCTGACTTAACTATTGCTTTATAACTTCATCACACACTGAAAATACGTAATACGTACAAAAATTGGAATTTAATTTTTGGCAT